GCCTATGCCTGTGTCGCGCTTTCGGATATGTTAAAGATATTTGTAACAAATAGTGACTTCGCCAGCCAGTCAAGCTCGGAAGCTGAATTTTTCCGAGAACATTATGCAAAATAAATATTTCAAATTCAGCTTTAAAGCACATGTAGGTCTCGAGTATGTACAGATGAAAGTTTGGTTCGAAACACTGTTGGCATCCAGTTGATTCAGTAGTTAAACTGAGCAGGAACCAATATTTTTCTGAGGATATTTGCTGTTTGTGTGGAGCTAGCAGGCCTAGAATGAATACAAGCTTATCAAGTATTCAATATATTTTGTAAGATTGAGTGAAAATTACGTATTCCAATGCACAGATAAGTTTGTAGTCTGTTTTTCAACTCTTAGTCGTAAACACAGACAGGGCATCGGATGCGAGTAGAAGTTAGAATCGTCAGTGCAGCTCGACGCTGCTGAAAAATCAGCAATGAAATTTGGCTCGCTACGTATCAAATTGCAGCATTGTCGATGCCTTATCCTTTGGGGGGTCAGGCAAGTGAGAAAGCTGAAATTTTGCGAGGACATTTCCTAATACCGTGGGGACAAAAACCGTAATAAGGACTTTAATGCATGCTGATGTTTCGGTTAAAGATATGGCAGAATTTAAGCTGCAAAAAACGCGTGACCGACAACATTGGTAGTGGGTTCATCCCTCGACAAATTTTACTGATGTGAGTGGCTGCTGCGATTATCCATGGGTGCAATAGCATCACTGTTTTTCGTTTTGATTCTAATTTTTCTATAATTTGAGACAAGCTACATGCCGGGCATGTGATGAAGATGTGTTTGCTCGTTGCAAAAGAGATCTCGAATTTCCCGAACAACAAGGAACGGATGAGGAAGGGTGCTTTTGTAGACGCCTACTGGATCGTTCGCGACGGTGGCCTCTTGGGGCTAATAGCTCATTTGTTGCTGTATCACAAGGTTATTCATAACTTTGTTTTACAGTACACTTGGTGAAATGCTGCGTATATATTATAATTGTGGTTTAGGTGTGGCGTGAATGTAAACTACGTTTCATCGGGATTGTTCGTCGAGACGACGAGAAAGAGGCCACGCTTTATCGAATTGAGCAGTATTTAAGAGCGATGCGGCTCAGGGGCACCGCAAAGGTAGCAGTTTTTACTTTATCAGGTTACGTATCAGTCATGTAGCAATAAAAATCCAGCACTACTTCGATAATAGGACATCTTTTGACAAGTGGTGGCGCAAAATCTTGGTGGCATTGTTGATTATGTGGTCTGTCAGCACAATAAGTACCTTATATCAACTATTTCGAACTAACTCAGTAGAAGTTTATACCTCTTCTGGTTTGCATTCCAGTCATTTGAAAAAATGGAAAGACATCGTTCTCACCAACCGGCTTGACAACAGGCAACTAATTGATTTTGTAATAAAGGATGAAGTGGGAGTGCACAATTTTTGCGTTCTGTTTTCTAGGTGGTTGTCCTAAGTGACCCGACTTTTTCGCAAGCAGAGTTTGAACTCACTATGGCGACGGATGAAAGAAGTAAGATGGCTCGTGAAGCCCTGAGACTAGCTCGAGAGTTGGCCTTGAATGTAGAGCGAATTGCGGAAGCCACACCAAGCAACGTCAGTAGCGAAGACAGCATGGTTTGGATTTTAATACTTACGTAATTTGATCTAAAGAAAATGAGGAAAATTTTTTGATCAGGATGTAGCATGCGGCTGTCCTTCCAGAAAATCTAATCTCAAATTTTCATTTTTATGCGTCTTGTGCGTTAATAAAAAAACCAAAAGTGGAACGCACCAGGCTCTCTGGTGCGGTCATACGTTTTTGCACTAAACTAGCAAATTGCTATTGGCAAGAATGATCCCTACGCTGTAGCCTAACACTTGGGCTCACATTGGCCATGCTTTGATCCTTTCCGGCATGCAGGAGGAAGGGCGTCAGTTGAGATGAAGATGGTGCATTATAGAACAGCACGGACATCCAAGTGCATGATTACCGGTTTTCTGCATGAAGTCCGGTCGTTTTTATAGGTTTTTGCCGTGCAGCGCTAGAGCGCTGCAACAGGCAGCAAAGACGCATAATGCAACGACCTTGTCAGTGTGTGTGTGTGTTCGTCTGCCCGGGTATTTCGACTCGCTAACCACGCAAGCTTTGAAGCTGAAATTTTGCCAGTGTGCTCCCCGGTCAGGTACCACCCCAGGACGGCAGTTTCAACCCTCACGCACGTCTGGGCTCGCTAACTCGGAAACGAGAAAAGTTAGAAAGCTGAAACCTTGGGATAGTGTCCCCTACCCATGTATGACAAAAGATTTCAAATTCAGCTATCCAGGAGTGCCCGGGACTTACGTACAGGCACGTGAAAATTATGGCGGGAAAATTCACAACTCGAGAATGAGAAAAGCTAGAAAGTCGAAACTTTGGGGGAATGTCCCATACTCATACACGACCAAAAGTTTTCAAACTCAGCTCCATAGGACCGCCAGGGGCTCACGTACGGACATGTGAAAATTTTGGCGCGAAATTCACTAACCCGAGAACGGGAAAAACTAGGAAGCTGAAACTTTCGGAGAATGTTCCCTACTCATGTACGAGCAGAATCAGATGTTTAAAAGCGCCCGTGCCCACATACGAGCGAGTGGAAGTTTTAGCGCGAAAATTACTAACCCGGGAACGAGAAAAGCTAGGAAGCTGAAACTTTAGGGTAATGCTCCCTACTCATGTATGACCAAAATTTTTAAATTCAGCTCCTCAAAACCGTCCAGCACTCACGTACGGGCACGTGAAAATTTTGATGGGAAAACTGCTAACTCAGAAACGGGAAAAGCTGAAGGCTT